TTTTCTCTGATGTGGCGAAAAAAGCAGAGTTTATAGTAATATCACTTTATTATTTTCGGATTCGCTCTTCCACTCGTGAAAAGCGGACAGGAGGATGAGGTGTTTTAATGGAGTATTACAATGAGCACGACTTCTGAAGTAGCAACACAAAAAATGTAATCAAATGAGGACAGAGAATCTGTAACAACACAGAGGAGTAATTTTGACCGAAATTCTAGCCGAATGGAATCTCCCGCAAAACCAAAAACAGGACAACGTCAAACAGGCGAACGAGAGACACAAGGAACTGGCTGGGGAAGAAATGAACGTGGTCCGTTGGCTGTGCATCGAAGTAAGGAATCGACCTCACTTCTGCGAATCTATGCGCAATGCGAATCAATACACAGCAGTGGAGCAGAATATATGTCGATGTGGGTGTGCGTGTGTATGTGGCACCGTGAAAGCCTTATCGGCTCACCGTTGATGAGTCAAATGCTCCCAGAGCAGTAAGCTGTCAGCCTTTTGAATTGCCTTGCAAGTCCTCGTTTGCGTCCCCCGGAACAGGCTGTTACGAGCAGACGAAAATGACTGCGGTTACAAGCGAGCAGATACAAATCTGTGAGATAGCTTAGATGTGTAGATGAAACTCAACCAATATAATGCTTTTCAAATTTACGCCGCGATAAAGTTGACTGGAAAAATTACTCATGATACCAACTTTGAACAGAAGTAATGCATTTCGTAGGCAATTAGTTTTCCAGCATGTTCTGGAAAGATAATATCTATGACGCTAAAAAAGCTGAAACACAAGGGAAGCCCAAACTTTGTGTAGTTATGGAGTTCCAACTGTACTAGCAACTGTAATTCTGTGCTTTTGCAAAGTTTGTGCAGATCTAGAGTGCTGAACTGTTTTCTTTTCTCAGCTTCATTTTTACCGCAAACGCTTATATACTAAGAGAGCGGGAGCCAAATTACTAGACTTCAAGAAGGACAAGTTAGATTTTATACCCACCTTCGTTTACTCAAGCCTAATATCTAT